CGGTCTGCACGGCACCTGGCCCTCGCTTGCCACCCTCCAGCCCAAATCTGGGGGAACGCTCAGATGGGAGATTGGCTCGGTGTAAAGAGAAGGCAAGTTTTGCTTTTTTTCTTCCTTGGGAAGCTACAAAGGGTTGGTTATTTCTGCAGCTCATGAGGTGATAAATAATGTTGTAAGGATATATTGCCTGTTCTTTACAACATAACTAACAGTCCTCTCCAGTTCCTTTATGTCTTCAGTGGCAGCAAGCTCCTGGTTATCTTTTGCAGCTCTTTTATTGCTGACCAGCAATAAAAAAATTTAAAAAGTTCATTTTGACAGGTTTTGGTGTGTTTGTTTCTCAGACTGGTCATTGAGAGAAAGTGGATGGCCAGCCTCTGTAGGAAGCCCTGTGAGTCCAAACAAGGAGCATACCTGCATCCCAAGGTTCCCTTGGCCAGACACCATGTCCAGCTCTGATGAGGACACAGCACTGGATGTGCAGGAGCTGACCAATGGGTCACCTTCCTTACAAGTCAAACAAGAGGTGGTTAGGCCTTCAAAGGAGATAATTTCCCACCCTGTGACTCAGGAGAAGGGTGTGGAAAGTGAACTGACCTTACAGGCAGGACCTGGGCTCCAGGGAAAATGCCCAGTTGTGGGGTGTTTGTTCTCCAGGCAGGAATACGGCTTGGCACCTCCTGGCTCCTGCTAAACTGTCTTCCCGGGCAGACAGTATGTCCCAGAGGGGTTTTGTATGCCTGTCATATGGTTCTCACTTGCCTTTTTGAAAGGAAACCAGACTGCTCCTTGGAAGCATCCATAATGAAGCTCAGCACTGTCAACAGCAGAGCTGACACCCACCCGAGGAGGAAGGAGGGCTGCCTTTCCCTTCAGTGAGGCTCCAAAACCTTGACAAGGTGTTCTCTGGGGTCCTGCCTCACAACTCTGCAAACAGGTGACAGGCCTTGAAATGCCTCCAAGTGAAACCACCGTGAAACTTGTGTAAGGAGAAGGTAATCACCCAGATTAGACTTTGGCTAAGGCACAGGACTGACACTTCGTGAGGGAGTGTGCCGCAGGAGCTTGAGTAACCACACACAGCCACCACTTCTGTGACTGCACATTTTAGGTGAAATATTGATCACCATGGTCAGAGCAGGACTGGTGAGCCCCTTGCCAGCAACTGCAGTCAGCAGGTCTGGCTCAGCCTTCACGAGTGCTGTGCCCATCACCCGCCCCTTCTGGAAAAGAGCAACACCAACAGCTCTTACCAACTTGAAAGCTGAGTTTTTCCTTCCTTTTTTTTTTTTTTTTTTTTTGGAACTACTTAGCTGCTTCTGGCATTTGATTAAACATTTTGCTGTTTCTCATCCTCCACAAAGCTGCTGGGGACAAGGTCTGAGGTCGTAGGTCTCCTCCTGACTGTGGCCTGCGTTCCAGCTTTGCTTCCATCCTTAGAAGATCTGGCTTCCATTTGGTCATGGGAGACTGACCACAGGGTGGCTTTTATGCTGTGGGAGCCTATGCAAATATGATGGCAGCTAAAGACTAATTGTACATACCACATTTCCTGTGATACTGGGTCTACAAATATGAGTTGTTGTGATCCTGAGGCAAAAGGAAGAATGTTGGAAAGTGTTTCAGTTAGTTATAAATTGGCTTGGGTGTCTTCTAGTCAATAAATACAAAAGCAAAAAGGTCTCCTCACCAATTTCTTGCTCTAATAGTAACATTCCTGACTATTCACTAATGGATCCTTTGGGCATTATGCTTCGTTTCCATCCAGTAAATTTTTCCTCTTTCTGAGGGAATCTGTATCTTTAGTATTTCTCGTATTTTAAGTATTACAAGCTTACCTGTATGTTTTCAGTATCATTGCAATGTTGGGTAACCTTAAATAAGTACTTTTCCTTGGTGTGGTCTTATGTAAAAGAAATATTAATTCTGTTACTTAATATTTAGTAGAACTTCTAAACATGTGTCTTGTCTTGTGTTTCAACATTTTGGCCCGTGCTCAGTTTTCTCCGTGTTATCGCTACATTCACACTAGCTGAAGCACTCAGAACCAGAAGTGACCTGACAGGGGGAGATGTCTAGCACTACATGAAGAAGGCCTATTCATGCCATTGCCTGTGATGTGATACCTCCAGCCGTGCATCTCCAAATGTTATTGGCGCTGCTTCCACCGTATCGTATTGGCAGTTCACACCCCACTTGTTGTTCAGCTGATACCGTATGAAAGTCTTTTCCACCTGAATACTAGACTGCTTTTCAAGTTTCCCTGCCTGACTGGATGTCTGCACTGCAGCTGGTTCTGCCTAGATACAGCAGTGGGCACTGGCACTGAATGGATCCCAGCTGAATAATTCTGCTGCATCCTTAAAACATCTACATTAATTTTTAACGTCCAAGTCAACATGAATTGCAGCTCTATTCATCACCCACTTCTTCTTCTGCTAGGCCAAGTTTTAGGGCCTGGTATGCAACACCAGTGACCTGACAGAGCCTACAGCTTAATTTTAGTTGTCTGTAGCCTTCTGAACCATTTTTGTCCATGTCAGCATGAAACTGCACTAACATATGGGTTTAGGTAATAACATCCAAGCAGGCTCGATGGGTGAAGCTGAGGAAGATCTCAGGTTCTTTCCCAAGAGATTTCTCTAATGTTCACTGATTTGATGGAAACATATGGTAAGTTTTCAGTCACAGAAACCCAAGACTTTGTGTCTGCTTGAAAGCTTCAAACCACATTTATTGTAAATTCATGAAAAAAAAAAAAAAAAAAGAAACCACAGGCAGGTAAATTATTACATCTGAGTGTGAAGAACTTGTCCAGTGATGTGCAATCAGATATTGAAAAGAATATCTAAATAAGCAGCATTTTCTTGATAGAAATCTCATTAAATAAAAAAGAAAATTATTTCCATATTTACAGATTACAAGGCAAATGTATCCTTAAAGCATCATTTCGTACTTAGTGGGTTTATTTCTTTGAAACAAAGGAGAAACTAAGAGTGTACTTTGGAAGCAGCTTGCTACACAGTCTATGTTACCACCAGAGAATGGACGAGCAGCCTCCCCTTGACCACTGCAATGCTCTGCTTCTTCTCTCAGTCAGGCTTTCAACGAAGGGCTTCTGGTACCTCCACCTACGAAAGGGGAGTGGGGTGGGTGTTGGTTACATTTGCTGTACAGCCTGGATGGCAAAATTCCTACCAGAGACACACTCCCAAAGCCCTGTGCTATGCAGCATCTCCCATAAGAAGCCTGACCCTGGGGAAGTACCCCACCTCTGTCAAAAACACAGCTGAACTGAAACCAGTGTGCTGAGGAAAGCCTCATCAGAGAAAAGTCTCCTCCCAAATGTTTTCTTATGCTCACTTTTCTAGGAATGTTTTTTAAATTAAATTAAGTACTTGCACTAAGATTAATGGAGCTTGTGCTATACCTGAGCCACAGTGCATTACTGACAAGGATCTCTTACTCACCCGCCTTAATTGCTTTATGCTGCTCGCCCGAATTGCTTCCATGAGGTTGTCATGGAGAGACCTTTGTGGGGTGGAGGGACGCGTGGAGGGTTGTGAACCTTCCTCTGATTTTCTGTCCGAGACCGATTTTAGGGAATCTTTAATTTCTTTCAATATGCTGTTCTCATGTTTTTTGCTTTTTTTCCCTTTTTTCTTTTTCTGTCCATTCTCTAAGGCTTTTTTTGACCTTTCTTGCTGTTTGATGACTTCAGCTATATTCCTGGTTGGTGCCTTCTTCTCTGGAATAAGGGGAGGAGGGGGAGGAGGCGGGGGTGGAGGTGGAGGAGGAGGTGGTGGTGCAGGAGCTGGAGGCTGACTTTTCACTGGTAGTGCTTTCTTAGGGAGCTTTGGAGAGGACCAAGGTGAGCTTTTAGGTGACACATAAGGTGAGGACCGAGGCGTTCCTTTCTGCAAGACTTTGGTCTTTGGATTGATGGCTCCATCACAACCAGACTCTGGTTGCCGCTGCTCCTGCATACGCTTTTGCCTTTGTTTATCCATATTTCTTGTCAGGATACTTGTCATGCTCATTCTTGGGCCAGCAAGGTCAAAATGATACCCAAGCTTGACCAGAGTGGTGTTCTCTTTCAACAGTTTAACTATGTCCATCTCCACCTGGCTGCCCATGATGTGCCTTTGGTTGTGGAAGCGCAGTTCTGTTAGAACATTGTTGTTCTGCAAAGCTCTCATGATGGCCAGCACTCCTTTGCCTGTGATAAAATTTGACTCGATATTGAGACTAGTTATATACTGATTTACCTTTAACATACCAGCGATAGCTATTGCAACATTGTCATCAGCATGTGTGTTAGCCAAGCTGAATGATTTAACCACTGTGTTGTCCCTCAGGGCTTGAGAAAACTGTATAAGCATCTGGGAAGTGATGTTTTCAATGTTGTTCAGATTGACTTCAGTGGTGTCAGGGTCATTGCTCCTAACTTTTTCCAAAGCATCCTCAATAACTGTTGGATTCCCACAAGGGTGAATGGCACTGCTTTTTAAGCTCAGATTATCAGTGTCTTTTCCATCGTGGCCATTGAGTAAGTTTTCATTGTCCTTTGCACCATTGCACTTTCTGTGTCTGATGTGGTCAGAACTCCTGCCATCCTCAGGTCTTTCACCAGCTGCAGCGTTTTCCTTTTCCTCATCCTCAACATCACTGTCATCTTCATCTTCCTCCTCATCTTCTTCTTCATCCTCCTCCTCAGTATGTGCCTCCTCAGACACTTCACTATTGCTTTCTGTGAAACATTCCTCTTGAATGTCTTCTGAATTGTCATCTTCTTGCTCAGAGTCCTGAACAGGAATGTAGGTGTTGGCATTAAACATGATTTTAGTACTGTCGCTGCTGCCTTGTTGCACAAAAATTATCATCTTAACACTATACAAGTTAATAGCAAAAGCTAAAAATAAATCCCCAGAAACGGAGACCATTAGGGGAACAGAAAATGTTTCAGCACCTAACACCTTCCTAACAGTATTTATTTTATATTCATTAGAAGACAAATGCTTAGTATAAATTGGAACCTTTTTACTTACATCAATGATTTCTGCCAAGTGAAAATCTGATATAAGATATTGCAGCATGGACATACTTCATGCTTTCTATCTGTTGGCATGTCCAGAAGGGGATGTTATTTGGATCCTTGCCCACAGAAATATAAGACTGCAATTTCAGAATGGACATGATCTATGAGCACTGGGTTTCTTGATTTCATAAGGATTAGACATCTGTGTCTGTCCTCAGAATCCTTTGCATATGCTAGTACATCTAAAAAGACTAAAGACCACCATGATTTAGAACACAAATAGTGTTTGCACATGCAAACATACATATTGACATGCAAAATAACACAGAATTACAGGAGTAATGTTGAAAAGCCTCTGGGTGCACTTTGTGAGATATACACACTTAGAAGCTATTTGTGAAGAAAAGATTCTGACACATTCCCACAGGTAACAAGCAATCACATGTCAATAATCCCCAAATGTTGGCCAAGAGCTAAGACTGTGCTCACTGACAGCTGTCACAGATCAGCTTCCATACTGTAACTTGTTATAACCCACTGCCTACAGAGTAAAATGACTATTTTTCCAAACCCCAAGGTTATTCTAAGGGGTTTGGTGGGCACCAAAACTAGACTCTACTTCTCAAAGCTCTGCCTGGTGCCCTCAGCAATTATGGTGAAGACGAAAATTCTCTGTGCAAGAACAGCAAAAGGTCTGCACCCCAGGGAAGTCTCTCTCCATTTGGAGGATTCCAGAAGCACAACAGTGTTTTATGGGCCATGACCAAGCACACATGCTATGACCAACCTTAAACTTCTTCCCCAAAAAGATCTCCCACGTTGTGTTTTGTCTACTAGAGGAGCCATAGCTACATCTTTTTATTTACATTTGTAAATGTTTATAAAATTTTGGATGAAATAGATTTGCTCTGTATGCACTACTTTACCAACATTAGTATTTTAGTCTTTGTAAAATACTAAAGGGTATTTTGCAATGTGAGTACACTCTGCAGAGACAGAGCAATTCTGTTTTGTGCTTCTGGAAAACGAGTGTTACTGACATGACAGCCTATTGTTAGAAAACCTGTTCAGTTTTAGGTTTGATTAATTATCTGGCTCTGAATATGCAGGGAAAGGTTAAAATAATAGCAATAACAGATTGCACAGCACTGTTTCACAATCTTCAGCAGATTTCTGTGTTGGGATACTTGCAAAGCAGACGGCAATTGTAATGTTTGTTGAAGCATGACCCCAATGAAAGGGGACCTCAAGCTGTTGCAGTCTGTCATTCCTGAGCATTCAGAGCCTGGAGGGCTTGCAGGGCCCAGCCCCACTGCTTCTCCTGTGGCTCATGTGCAGGAAGACCCGTACACTGAGAGATGCTGTGCTACACATAGAAACAGTGCTCTGTTTAAGCCACGTTTACTATGGGACTAAGATTTATATCTGTACCTTCTAGATATATATTGCAGACTTTTAAAAGCTGAGAACACCAGGTATTCAGGAACCCATTTTCATGGCTATGCTTTTAGCTGTCGAGGAATATATACTACAGCCTTCAACACAGCTGCAGATGAGCAGAAGTTGGTGCCTCAATGGATTGCTAATATGCTTGACATGAGATTAACAAAAGAAATACTTGATTTTTTTTTTTTTTTTGAGTGCCATTTCTGGGGTCAAAGAGGGAAATTATTTTCCTGTCACATACATCGTTTGGAGTTATAACAATCTGCATGATAATTTTGAAATTGAGTCCTCTTCTGTTTGCAGATCTGTAGAGGCATGCTCTGTTACTGGGGCAGCATCTCCTCACAGGACTGCTGCAGGCATCTCCCAGGGCTTCATCTTACTTTGCAGCAGTAATTAGAGGAAAAGTTAGGACCAAGTCAATGCAGACTTACCTTTGAAGGGTAAGTCATTCACCCTAAATGGCTATCTGCAGGATGTTTGCCTTCTAGAGGGGCTGACCTCGCACCTCTAACGATAGAAGTACCACAAATAAACATTTCAGATAAGGCATCTAACTTTCAGAGCATTGAGGGAAAGAAGAAAATTGTTTTCAAGAAACTCAGAAGGACCTTTCTTACCGTCTTCAGTGGAAAGAGCCTTTGTGCTCTCTGCATCAGTGTGTCAACATTTTAATATTTATGGATGCATTTAGGATGTTTCTTCTGAGATCAAAAAGTGCAGAGGCTTTTGTTAGCACTCAGACTTTTAGCCAGTAGCCTTTGTTAATGCTGTGCAGGCACAGAAAAAGGAAAAAAATCCTATCATTTATATAAGACACCAAAGTAGACCTGTTCAGAGGGGTTTTTGGAACTGTCCAGGTTTCGAGTTCCAAGTTCAGCTGGAAATAAACATTAATCTTGCCATTGCCTCCCTAGGACTTGACAAACAGGGAGTGAAGTCAACATCTGCAAGCTGATACTAATGGTCTGATGACAGCTAGTGGTCTGTGCGCTTGCTTACAAAGACACTACACCACCATTCAGGGGAGAACACTTAAGTGTGAAGAAATCCTGGATTTTATTATTGCAGGCTAATTTAATCCAGGTGATTTTTCTTAAAGAGAGTATTTCATCTAATGTGCAAACTGCAATTATTGCCTTGCAAATGAACTGAGTTCCTGAATCAAGGCTATTAGACATACAGTCCCGTTTTGCTCTCTTTACCTTTTTTGCATTATTTGCTACTTAAACATGGGAAAAGTTGTCTTTTTAAGAAGAGTCCCAGCATGATATCCGCTTAAAAATCAAAAAGCTACTCATATCCCCAGGTCCTCACTTTGCTTTGAAATTACATGAAGCCAGTGTGAAAACAGAAGTTGCTTTTTGATCGAGCTCAGTCTCACAAATGTTTTTAGCAAGGGCCTGAGGGATGCAGACATGGACGTGAGCTTAGTGCGGGAGTGCTCATCACCTGCCAGGACTGAGCCCTTCAGGCCTGCCCAGCTGTACTGCTCATTTGCAGGGACTCAGGGACTGCCTTTTATTATTGTCATTTTTATTTTGGGGGATGAATTCCCTAACAAGCACTATTGGTTGCTTTTTTGGGAATGCAGATAAACGGTTTGGCTGATCGCTCTCACCCGAGGCCAGTCTGTAAATAACTCACAGCAACCCTCTGACAGCCGCTGCCAGAAGACTCCCGAGCCGTGCCAGGGATCCTCAGCAGGAGATGCTGACTGCAATGCAGCTTCCTTCCAGCAAGCACAAAGCCTGGTGGCTGCTTGCTCAACTTCTGACATAATGTGTATTCAAAATTATTTTCCTGACATGCTTCTCAGCAGTCAATACTCATTTTTTTTTTCTTTTTAAGTAAAACAAAAGGCATTTTAAGCTTTTAAACAAAATCAAATATTATCCAAAAGTCCATATCGCTACCTGGCAATAATTTCTAACATGCCTGTTAAAATGGTTCCTATTTTAATCACTCATGGTAGTTTTTGCAGGACTTCCTTCTGTTCTCAACTGAGCATTTAAGGTACCTTCAGAGACAACAAAAACTCTCTGACCTAATACACAGCGCTTTAGCAGGCACAGAAGTACAGCCAACAGTGTTCTTAAAAATGCTAGAAGAGACTGAAAGAAACTTAAAACAGTCAGGAAGATCATGTCAGGGAAGAACAGACCCAAATATTTCTAGGAAACAGCAACTGTCTCAGCGCCTTACCTTGTCGCACGCACTCAGTCTCTCTTTCTCTAAGAGTTTCCTGGTCTCACTCTCCCAATAGGCCATCAGAGCTTCCCGGCTGAAAGTCCCCGTCGGAGTTTTCTCTGTCAGGCTCTTCTGTCGCTGTCCCACCGGGAGGTTACGGTCAGGCTCTATGTCCTCCAGCTCCCGCTCCAGCTCCTTCAGCTCCTCTTCAGTGAGGGAAGCGAGGAGCTCGTCTTCATCAATGTCTTCATATTTACTGAGCTCTCTTCTGTAGCCAAAAGTAGACATGGTCCCGCTTGGTCAGGCTGGTACAGACCTGGAGTGACTAGGCATTCAAGAAGGCTGAAGCCAGCAAGCTGTGTCTCGTTGGGTCAGCAACTGTTTCCCTGCCTAGCAGAGGCACCCTTTTAAGAGTAATCATCGGGGGCTTACGACAATGCACGAAGGGATGAAGGCATGCTCCGTTTTAAGAATCAGACGTCAGCTAGACATCTGAACAGCAAGAATGTCCCAACACTAGTGTTTGCAGGTCCCTTAAAGAGGGGGATTATTGACACACTGGCCATGGCCATATTTAGAGCAGGCAGCTAGCGGGAGAATACCAGCCTCACAGACGGGAGGGCAGACAGCAGCAAATAAAACCCTGGGTGCATTTGCACCAACTTCGTGCCCAAACTGCAGTAGAGAAAGAACAGTGAAAATCCACTTCATTCTGAGCTGCCACAGCCACTGGAAATCAACACCCTCGCCATTGCTCAGCCGATTTCCTCTCATTTTCATGGTTTTCAAGCAGAAACCTGCTGTTATCCCACCATGGTGTCTGCAGGAGACTGGGATGGGTGGGCAGGCAGTGGGAGGGGGTACAGGCCGGCGTGCCAGTGCCCCTGGGGAGCACTGCTCCCACAATGTCACACCTCACCCGTGACAAATCACATTGCTGGATTATTTATTAATTACCTCCCCCCCCCTTTTTTTTTTTCCAAGGATGACCAGAGGGAGAATCAGCTCGAAACGTCCGTTTGGGGCTCCTGTGAGATTTTTTTCATGCAGCGAACTGCACACTGCTGGGGGGGTGAGCAGAGCTGCCCAGAGTTTTAGGGGGAACCAGCCATGGGTGGGCAGGGGGGGCTCTGTCTTCTCTACTTCTGACAGCTCCTATCAGAGGAAGGCCTCTAGTGGCTATTGCTCGCTATAGCTGGCTGATGTGCAGCCTTCAGTTCTTTAGTTTAAAAGTATATCCACATTATCATGTGCACTAATAAATGATATATTATTCTGAGAACATTTTTCTAGACATGGGTCACCTGTGTCTGGACAAGTCAGTGGGTCAGTAGAAGTCCTATCCACTCTTCCAGCTGTACTTACAGAAATGATGCTTAGGTTAAATTCTGTAAAATGTGAAACAGCAGGAAAAAAATACTAAGTACCTTTTTCTTTTATTTTTCCTTTGTGAATTCTGATTTTGGCACTAATTAAATGTATATAACAAAACTCCAAGAAACTGTATTTCTTCAGTATGTCTATGACAGTGGTTCAGGTTGTTATCACTGGAGTTAGCCAGAGAAGCAGCACAATAAAATTATGTTGGGTGCACTTACGCAGACAACATTTTGTTATTATTATGTTACAAACATACAGATACGTAAACTGTCTATTTGAAGTTTATTATGTATGATTCAAGTTTTCCAAACTCAAAGGCATTTCAAAAAGCAACATGCATTACTCATTTGTAAAATAACATTCAAAAGGAAGATTTAGTTCAGTCCTTGGCAGCACCATGAATATTGCCTGCAATGTTACTCTGTGCTGAGGCAGGATAAAACAGTGGGCCAGGGGTGATGTTTTTCTCTGTATAAAATGACAGTGATGTCCATTCCAGCCAGGAGATAAGAGAATGTAAAGATGCTACTAAAGAGGAACAAGGATGTTTCTCCTGAAGCAGAGGGGAAACTGGCACAGTTAGGTGAGGTTACGAGAGGCTTGGGTCCTTTCTGAATCCTATACATGTTGCTCATGGTAATTTAGGACCCATTCTTTATACAGAAATGGCCAAGTGTGATGACCTATGAACACTTTCTACAACGATTTTAAAGGAAGTAATAAGGCTGTAGCACATGGCAAATTACATACACAAAAAGGATGCTAAAGCTGTAAAACTAAGTACTAATGGATTAGAAAAAGCAGGGATGTTATTGGTCCTTGCTTGTTGATTAGCACTGAAACAGGTCCTTAATTTCATAATTCTGTAATTACACACTTTGATACTAGACCCATGGGTCCCCAGGACTTTTACTTTTGTTCTTTGTACAGGAAAGATCATGCACATTTAATAAAGAGCCTTCAGATTTTTTCTCCCTGCTCTTCAGTAAATCAAGATTACCAAGGGCTTCATTTGTCCAGCAGCCCTTTCAGGAGACGTGAAAGTGTTAACATCTTTGTGAGGAGGAAGAATAGAGATACAGAGACTTTAAGATTGAAGGTACCCACTAATTTGGAGTTTAAGATTCCCTGTTTGGGGGTATTTGGCATTATGCAGCACTTTCAGGGCTCAGGTCCCATGGGCACCAGCCACTGCTGAAGCTGCCCACAACTTCAACAGTTCACATCACAGGTTAACACTCAAATGATTTAATTACAATAAAATTGACTTGTCCAAAATCTGAGAGGAACTTTGCTGCAAAAACAGGAGTGATTGCGTTTTCCTGTTATTAGTATTCCTGCCTGAAACCCTGTGTTCTCATTCCACAGTCCCATTTCTGAGGAACTGCACGTGTTCAGATTTCTGAAAAAAAAAAAAAAAAATAAAAAAAAAATAGCAGTCTGAGCATCCTGTTATCCATCCCAGGCTGCATGCTCAAACACACCATTATAAACAATTTAGGGAGAGACCTTGTGCTAGTGAGGTGGCACAGTGAACTTCCTTCCATCACAGAAGGCTGAACGTGAGCCACACGTCGTCCACGAGGTCAGCTTTATACTGGCTGCATTGACAGCTGCTTAGGATGAATCCTCCAAAGTGCATCAACACCTACAAACAGAAAACCCAAAGTCACCTCCCTAACACCCTGCTGAATTTCTCTATGCAGGGAATAGACCATTTCATGTGTAGGCCATGAAAACTCATCACTCCATCAACAGTTATTAAGAGGTTTGTTCCCTTCAGGACCTAGTCTAAGATAAGAGAAAAGGAGAACTGAGAGTGCCTGTTTTATAGGAGCAGTATTCACTCTGCCACTGTAGATACTTGGCAGCCAGGCTCCTGGCTTCAAGTGGTTTGGAGCCCACTCAGCAGCAGATAGATTGCAGAGAAGACTTTCAATCTTTTCTAGCCCAGGTGATCTATTTTCTTGGTTTTGAAAGAAGAAGCATTTATAAATGTTTTTTGTCCTTCCCAAGCAATTATCTGTTTCAAGCAACAGCCTAGGAAACCTTGTTCTCCTTCTCACACATTTCCATACTTCAGGCATGTTGGCCCATTGGCTTCAGGGACATGAGCAACTCCTGAGAGATGAGACTCATCCCCTGCCCCAGCAGGGCAAAGCCCACAATTTAAACTCTCCTTCCACTTGGGTGAGTGCAGGGAAAACTACAGGCAAGCAGAGAGAGGGCTGCACAACCTTGTCCTCAGGCATGGGACACGGCTGGCCCCAGGACAGCAGCTATTTCAGTCCCGGCTCCTGAGGACAGCCTGTCAGACAGATGCATTGGCTCGTACTGAGCTGCAGTCCCACGCTGCAGGAACAGGTCCAATTGCCATAGAGCACATTAAAAACAATGCACCACAGCACGTCTGGGCTTCCCTCATCTCTCCCACTGCCCTTCTGCCTGTGGTGCTCACTCCCAGCCCCCCTTGCTCTGCACCCCCTGTTCCTCGACCGGCTCCTTCACCCCTTGTTCCTCAACCAGCTCCTTCCCTCCCGCCTCACCCTCACGCAGCCCCTGAGGGACCAGCCCCTGAGCTCTCCCCCTTCCCTTTCCCACCTCGCTGCTGCTGTGCTGCCTTCTGCCCCCCGGCCCTGCAGGCTCCCCTCACCTGCCCTCACCTGCCCTCCCCGTGCAGCCTCTCCCTGTCCTCACCTGCCTCTGCAGCCTCGTCACTGTTTTCTCCTTCCTTCTCCTCCTCGCCGGCCCCTTGTCCCATCCGGCCCTGTGCTCCTCGCTCCTGCCTCTGTCAGCTGAGATATACAGACATACATTTGTGTGTGTGTGTGTCCCCATTTCTGTATGCTTCTCATACAGACCCACGCTGAACGCAGAGCCCAAATCGGCCTGGAGAGACAAAGGGTCAGCAAGCTGGTGTCTAAACAGGAACGCCAGGCAGACTGATGGGACAAGCTGTAGCTCTTTCCCCCAGGAGACTGGTGTAACTTGTGAAAATTGTGGACACCGTACTGTTCCTGAAAAGGATGTGTCATCACCTACATTTAACAGGGGTATCAGCAGAGCAAACTGGAGAAAGCATGAGCTAAAGGCATGCGAAGGAACAATTTTTCAGCTGCTTTTCTCTATGCCAGATGATTCTGTTGTCCAGTCCATCTCTCCTGGTGATGCTGTAAACAGGGAGTCACATGGGAGAAAGAGACCTTTCCCTTCATCCGTGCTGGGGAAACAAAAGCGGGGTAAGTTTAAAGATGACCCTGATCCAAAACCAGTCTTTGCTTGGGAATCAGACCCAGCATCCTAACTCAAAGACAGATATTTCCTGCTGATCCCCTGCAGCACACCCCAGGCTACCAGGAGAGCAGATTCCAGGTCCAGATTGTAGTTTAACAACTCAGACCCATCACAAACAGTGATCAGCTTTCGCTCAAAAAACATATACATGTGGGCTGGCTTATTGCTCAGCTTAGTTCTGAAAGCAGCATTCCCAACAGCTGCTGGGCACATAAACAGAGGTCTATATACAACACTATATACCAACAAGCCATGGGGCAACAACTAATCATGTGTCTTTTGATGGCAGGGGTGTTCAGGTTGCCTTGCTTATCAAGAAGACAGAAGAGTCATAGTGAGTGAAGAAGTGAATGGGCTCTGATAGTGCTGCTGATGGGAAGAGTGTAAGGATGCATCTTGGAAGGGGAGTCACGAGGTCGACCTGGCTTGAGGGAAGCACTGGGGGAAAAAATTAATCAGGGTGCAAATAAGAATATTTCTGGACTACCAGATTCCTCAATCTTTGATTTAAAGAAGGAAAACTCATTGCCCACATTGCACAGGCATCCAGTGTCCTTAGTGCATGGACCCTGAAGGTCTATTTGATTATACAGAGAGGCATGCAGCTGGGTGCC